TTTTTACAAAAATATGGGATTGCATAACTGCATACTTTTTCTGTGCATGGCATGCAAAGCTTTCGGGGGCAGTGGATGAGATAATGTGTTTTCCAATGCACTTGCCAAGGTCATCCATGAAAAACTGTTTTAAAATGACAAAAAATAAAAAAGCAAAAGCAAAGCCAGGTAGAGAATTCTGAAGTGAGATAATCAGGTATCCTTGTCGTCTGCACACATTCAAAGTTTTCAGTGACCTTACTTGCAGTTACATAAGCATATGGAGAGGAAAACAAACTCTTATTAAATGCTGCAACACATATGGTCTCCTGACAGGATGTTCCAAACCATGCAGTGATTTTACAGTCCATATGCACTGTACAGCAATTCTTTGGTCTCAAAACAAGAATCAAAAATAGCATAGCAGCATGAACTCCACATTCTTTTTCTTTCATGGGCAGTCTCTGTGTTAAAGTTAAAATACATACTACACGATGGCTAGCTGCATTTAACAGCAAAAAATGCCACATACTTGGGCCTTAATAAATGATAACATGATGTACGATGTGATATGCAAAAAAAGGACCAACATTTGGAGTAAAATTTTTCCCAGCGGCATGCCATAAAGCACTTTAAGGTAAGAAATACATCATCAACAGTTCCATTTTCCTTGGGCAGGGAGTTTACCTGTACAGCACGCATGAACACCAACCTGAATGGAAGAGTATCTTCATAAAGAAGATGTCACCTGGCCTATCAAGAACCCCACAGCGTAAAGACTCCATCAGACCTTTCTTTTGCAAGGTCAAAGCCGGATCTAATCAGACTCTCAGTTTGTAATGCCAACGAACGTAGAAGCAGTAGTCACACTGAACCTAAGTTTTCTCACTTTTAAATGTTTCTCAGTCACATAAACCTTAAGTGTTATTATCTGTCATATTGTGGTCATACACGATATTCAGTGACAGAACTGAGCCCAGCAGTCAGCACTTGCGGATTCAGTTTAAGGGATTTGTTTCCAGTATCATATGTTCCAGCCCTATATACTGTACTATACAGCTCATACCTGGCGGGTTGTGGTCTGCTTGGAACCCACCTAAACACTCCTTCCCAAAGCTGCCACCAAAATAAAAGATAGGTGCGCACCGATTTGCTCCGTGCACAGTACAGCCCATCCGCAACCCCAGCTGTGGCTGCAGCGAGCTCAGCGTCGCAAACCCCGTTTCCGAAGCTGGGAACTGGCCACCTCCGCGTTTCTCTTAGGTGAAAGCTCCCCGGACCCCGCGCGAATATGTAAATGGATGTGCGTGCGCGGGCGCGCCTGTCC